TGATGAACGTGATGATGATGATGAGGATGATGATGATGATGATGATGATGAGGATGATGATGATGATGATGATGATGATGATGACGATGATGATGCCAAGGAGGATTTGGATTCCAGTATGACGATGTTGATGCTGATCGTTGTGGTGATGATGCTGATGCTGTTGATGATGCTGCTGATACTGATGATGATGACGACGCGGATGGTGATGATGCTGCTGTTGCTGCTTGATGGTGCTGCTGATGATGATGGGGCTGTTGGTGGTGGTGATGATGATGCTGAGAAGGTTCATGGTTCATGGTGATAAGTCTACTATTCGTGATGGCGGGCATGATGATGGCGGTGCCGATGATGATGAGGATGATGATGATGATGATGTTGATGATGATGATGATGAGGAGAAGGATCATGATGATAGCTTTACCATCCATGATGGCGATCATGATGATGATGGCAGTGATAATGATGACGATCAGTATGATGTTGCTGATCATGACGGAGATAGTCATGATGCTGATGCTGGAGATGTTGATGTTGATTCTGATGGTGATGCTGGTGATGACGATTATGATGTTGAAGATGATGGTGTTGATGATGATGGCGACGCTGACGACGACGATGGTTATTATGATGATGATGGTGATGCTGATGACGATGATGGTGGTGGTGATGATGTCGATGATGAGACTGACGATGATGATGACGAGGAGGATAATGGTGATGAAGATTATGCTGATGCTGTTGATGGTAGTCGTGATGGTGATGATGATGTTGATGTTGATCTCGATGATGATACGTACGAGGAGGAGTAGGCGGAGGAGGAGGAGTTGGAGGAGGAGGAGGAGGATTAATGATGAAAAGGAGGAGGACTGGAGGAAGCCCAAGGTGCATCAACGGTGTTGATGATGATGACGCCGCTGACGACGAAGATGGTTATGATGATGACCACGATGATGACGATGATGATGATGACGATGATGATGATGACGATGATGATGACGACGATGATGATGATGATGTTGATGATGCTGACGATGACGATAGTGGTGGTGATAATGATGATGTCGATGCTGCTGATGGTTATGATGATGACGACGATGATAATGATTATGATGATGGTGGTGGTGATGATGATGTCTGTGATGATTATGTTGTCGTTGATGATGATGGGCATGATGATGATGATGATGATGATGGTGATTATGATGCTGATGCTGCTGCTGATGATGATGATGATGATGATGATGATGATGATGATGATGATGCTGCTGCTGCTGATGATGATGATGATGATGATGATGATGATGATGATGATGATGATGATGATGATGATGATGATTACGAGGAGGAGGAGGTGAAGGCGGAGGAGGAGGAGTTGGAGGAGGAGGAGGAGGAGGAGGAGGAGGAGGAATGATGACAAGGAGGAGGACTGGAGGAAGCCCAAGGTGCATGAACGGTGCTGTAATGCACCCGCGCGTGCCAAAGCCCCTCCACCTAGGGAGAGAGCCCCATTTTGAAAGGGACCAGCCCTCCACCCCGAGTTATAGCTGTGGAAAGTTGCATGCTTCAGGATCGTGCGTGGTGAGGAAGTCTCAGGCAAAACGCCCGGCCCGCCCTGCCGGCACGTCTGGTGGTCAGACGAGGAGGAGTTATCTTGGATTGGAGGAGGAGGAGGAGGAGGAGGAGGAGGAGGAGGAGGAGGAGGAGGAGGATGCCATTCCTCCAGGCGGGCGGCAGCGTTGGTTGGGAACTGGCAGCGCGCCACGTCCTCGCCCGCGGCGCAGGGCCGTGGCCAGAACGAGACGCTGGCCCACGCGGTGCGTAGGCTCAACAGGACTTTGCTGGAGGCGCGGAACGGCGACCCGGCGGCAGACGCCCTGCTCAAGATCGGCAGTCGAAGAATAAACAGTTGCATACATATGATTTCTTGGAGGTCCGCGATGATTCCTTGGATCGGCGTTGGGCCCCCTGGCGGTGCCTCTGGCGCGGCCCTTGGCGCGCTCCGCGCGCGATGGAGGGGTGTCCAGCGCCGAATCAAGAATTCCGCACGGACCTCCGAGCGATTCTGTTTATGCACGTTTTTGCCCCTCAAGGCAGGGCACCGGGCGGGGCGCGCGCGCTGGTGCCCGCGGTGCGCGGCCTCGCGCTCGCCCTGACGCGCGGCACGCTCGGGAGGCAAGGGCGGTGGAAAGCCCTGTTGGCCTTGGAGTTGGTGGGGCCCGAGGCTGGGCTGGAGGCCGAGCTGGCCGTGCCCGCCGTGCTGCACGCGGCGGCCGAGGACGAGTCTCCGATCGTGCGGGTGGCGGCCGTCGCAGCGCTGCCGAGGCTGCTGAGGCCCGAGGCCGCCGAGCGGGCCGGCCCGGTGGTGCTGCGGGCGGCCGAGGACGGCGCTCAAGAGGTGCGGGCGGCGGCCGTGAGAGCTCTGCCGCAGCTGCTGGGCACCGAGGCCGCTCCGGTCGTGCTGCGCCTGGCGGCCGGGGACAACGCCACGTCCGTGCGGCAGGCAGCCGTGCAGGCTCTGCTGAGGCAGACGGTGCCCGAGGCCGTCCTCCAGCCCGTCGTGCTCCAGGTCACCACCGAGGACGAGGTCGAAGAAGAGAAACCGCCACGACCATACATTTTCGACGCTCCGCGCGGATTTCTTGGATCCGCGCTGCGCCCCCGCGGCGGCGCCTCCGGCGCCGCCCCTGGCGCGCTCCGCGCGCCAGCGAGGGGGGTCCAGCGCAGATCCAAGAAATCTGCGCGGAGCGCCACAAGTTTGTGTTTGTGGCTTTTTTTTTATTCTACAAGAGCGCCTCCGTACGTCGGACGGCTTGGAAGTTGCTGAGCCCCGATGTTGCCCAGCGGGCCGTGCCTAGCCTGTTGCGGAATGTCTCGTGCTCACAGCACGGCGGCAGTTCATGGAAGAAAATTGCAAATTGTGGAGAGTCATGCTGGCTGGAGGCGAAGCGGCGCTTCAGAGATGCAGAAGGTGAACAGGTACAACAGAGGAAACGATTCCGTGCTTTGGATAATCTCGCCGAGTACTTCTTGTCGCAGGAGCACGCAGCCCTGGAGCAGGTAGAACCCACACTGATGTTGATGCTAGACTCGACGTTGCAGTGCATAGGCTGGGACAACGTTCGAGACTTAGCGGCGATTCTTGTCATCAAGATCAGCAGCGCGCTGGCTGGGATGACCTTCACCTATAGACTCCATCTGTGGGATGTGCTCATTCAGGCGGAGGAGATGGCGAACTCTAAATACAAGCCAAGTCTAAGACTCAGACGCGAGGCTCTGCAGAGGGCCTTCGAGAAGGACTGCGCGGACTCGTTCCTGAAGCAGACTGGCATCGCCATCCATGTGGATCGTTTCGCAGTAGAGATCCCTCTCGGCGTCATGATGGCCTCCGACGCCAACGGCACGGAGGCGCATAGGTGCCCCAATCGAGACGCTTGCCCCGTGAGCCAACGCCAGAGGATGAAGCCCGCCAGGGTTAACAACACCAAGGTCAAAGGGGGCAGCTGTCCCTTACTGCTTTCGGAGCACAGCGGGGCCATCGACAAGCTCAACGCCATCTGCGCCGCTGGCTTCGATATCACGTCACCTGGATGCGCAAAATGTCTTCCCGAGTTCGGGCGCACGAACAAGGACCCGTTTTCTTGCGAGTTTTGCGGCAAGTCTGGTTGGGCCTACAAGATGGCCGCTTGGCTTGGGCAGCCGCTGATCATCTTCCTCCTCGCATGGCGCAGCGCGGAGAGCGCGGCGGCCTCCATGAGCGTGACGGAGGCGGTAGCCAACGACGTTGTGAAGATTGGTCTCGCCTATGTATCCAGCATCGGTGTGGTAGTCGCCGCCGTCACGTCGACGGATTCTTACCACGAGCTGAATGCGACGGACCGTGCCCGGCATTTGTTGGACCTGGCCCAGCAGGCGCAGCTTGGCGACATCACCTATTCAACGAACAGCGACTGCCTGCTCATGAGCGGGCGGGGCGCGGCGTCCGTGGACCAGCTCTTCGCGTTGACCCTGCAGCTGCCCGCGTGCGTGCTCGCCGCTGCAGCATTCTTAATCGTCCTCCGCGCTTGCTGCCGAGCTGTCTTCTCGGACGGCCCCTTTGGCCTCAAAGATCTCCGGAAGGAGGTCGTGCACAGGATGGTCACCTGCTCGCTGGTGGCGGGCAACCAGTTTTTGCCGAGCGTGGTTTCGGCGAGCGTGCGCGCGCTGCCGTGCTTCCACACACAGGAGGCAGTCGACGGAAACGGTCCAGCCATGCTCTCGGCCTACGACCCCGACTCGGCGTGCCGCGAGAACGCGCAGCTTCTGTGGATGTGTGGCCTCGGGTCCGTTTGCGCGGTCGTCGCCGGCCCCGTTTACTGGCTGACCCTGTTGCGCCACCAGAAGTGGGCGCGGCATGCAGGACAGGGCTGGACCTCAACGCTGTTTTGCTGGACTCCGGCTGTGTTTTGCTTTTCGTTTCGGCAGGGAGGTACAGGAAAAGAGGCAGAGCACAACGAAGACAAAACGACAACAAAACGAACACAACGTTTAGGTCCAGCCCTGATGCAGGACCCACGAGATTCCTGGCGGGCTCTTACCGTCACGGCTTCAAGTGGTGGGAGGCGGTGCGCCTCGGGAAGACGATGCTCATCGCCTCCGTGGTCACGGCCTCGCCCACGAGCTACTGCCCGCTGCAGCAGCTCATGCTCTGCCTCTTGATCACCGGTGCCTTCAGCCTCTGGCACTGCTCCAGCAGCCCGTATAAGTACCCCGTGCTCAACGCCGCCGAGGCTGGCTCGCTCAGTACCCTCAGCGTCGGCATGCTGCTCTCGGGGCTGCTGGCCGGCGGCAGGTGGCCGCTGACCCCCAGCCTCCAGAGCAGCATCATCATCGGCATCGCGTCGATGCTGATATGTTACTGCTTTGCACTTGTGGTCCTCTGGGTGAGGGTCAAGTTCTTCTGGGCTGAGGACACCGGCGAGGAGCTGCCCGCAGAGGGCGACCTTGCCACCGACCAGTGAGCACGCTGCAAGCCATGGAGCACGCAGCAGACTTTCCCTCCGCTCTCTCTCTCTCTCGTGCTCCGCCCTCTTTTCTCCTTCTCCCCTCGCGCTAATCAGAGTCAGCGAAACGCCCACTCGTCCTCTGAGCCTCCTCCCTCGAATCCACACACCGCTGGACTCAGGGCTCTTGCTTGAGCTGGAATTGTTCGAGCGAAGCAGCCATTATATAATATCGCTATGCTCAAAACAGCACCGAGCCCCTTTAAGGGGCCCCAGAGGGCTTCTTTTCTGCAGCCTTAGGTGCCCCCCATTGATCGCCCCCCTGTTGCGCGACGCCCATACGCTTGCCGGGGTGGAGATTCCGGGAGGCAGTGGACATGGGCGTCATCCGTTTTGGCCTCCCTGCCCTTAGTCTCCCGCGGAGGGGGAGGGCGGGGGACTCCTGCTTGCTGTGTGTTGCCTGCCCTGAGCTGCGATCGCGCCCTGCGGTCGGGAGCCTTGAGACGGGAGTCAGCCAGAGCGCCAGATGGTGCAGGATCCTGCAGAAGCAGGGGTGCATTGACCGGGAGGTTGCAGATCCTGCGCTATCTTGCAAGGCCTGGCTGACCCGGGTTTGCACTGACCCGGGTCAGTAGATCACCGACACGCGTTGGCCAGTGCGTCAGCACCAATCCGAATCAAGAGCTCTTGTCTGCGGCATGGGGACGCCCAGCGGGCGGTCGACTTCCCGCGCGGGCGGGCGGGGAGGCCAATTTTTTGCCAAGCATGAGGCTCGCTCTTCCTCCTTCGCCACTTGCCTCTCCGCCCGAAGGGCGCCGGTGGGTCGCAGGCGCGGGGTTGGCCTGGGAGTGGCGTCGGGCTGCCGTGAGTCGGCACTCCCTGCGGGCGCTCCACTTCGCGGGCTTGTCAGGAGCTCAGCAGGACCTCAGAGAGGGCCCCATGTTGCATCGCCGCCGCCCTCATGTACTCCACATGCGTAGGCACTCAGAGCCGTGCGCGCCACTTATCCAGTTGCCTGCGGCAGATCCCGCCACCGCGCCTTTGCAACAGCGCAGCAGGAAGGAGATCGAGTGTAGGAACAGCGCAATTCCCACCACTGGTCTGAACTAGTCGTGAACTCGACCTTGTCTTCGTCGCCAGCGCGACAGGAAGGAGTTCGAGTTCACGCCCCGAGGCAGATCAGCAAGTGGTCTGAATTCGGAAAGGGTCACGATCTCGACCTCGTCTTCGTCCGGGCGGTATGGAGGAAGAAGGGGAAGGGGAGGGGCCTGCGGGACCGCTGCGGATGGGAATGGAAGCCCAGCTCGCTGCAGGTGCTCACGCACGGGATTGAGATTCCACCTGGTGCCGTGCGCGTTTCAACAGATAAATACGTTTCTGTGTACACGGCGACGTCGAGATAATTGCCTTGGGGGGCCTCTTCTGGTCGCCAGTGAGCCTACATCTGCTCTGATCGGGTATCGCCTCGGGAAGGGTGACGCGTGTTCTCAGAAGTACCAGCGCGCCTTTCGCAGAAGGGCACCCGTCAGCTTGAAGATGAAGACGTGTGCTGTCATGCCGCGGGCTTGCGCTTCATTTCTGTCATCCATAGTACATGGGACTGCTGTCGACCTTTGCGGTGCCATAACATGGGAACGTGCCACGTTGAGAAAGGCCTTTCGTATAAAGCCGAAGCCAGACGAGGGCCGAACGCTGCACCACCAGTGGACCGCGGCGAAATTGGACGAGTGGCTAATGCTGTCCAGTTTCAAACGTATTCACGTGGTGATCCTGAAGAGACTATGCGGCGCAGTGGCGCGAGCGTTCGGTCGCACCAGGTGCTGCGAGTCTTCGGTCGATCGCGGCACCCGCCAGTGGGAGCCTGCAAAGCAGATACCTTCCCACTCTAGACACGCCATGGTGCACGCCCGGCGAGGCAGGCAGAGATGTAGCGACGCCGTGTTCGCAGCTGCAAAGGGCGCGTGGTGGAGGGATCATGTCGACCAGGTCGAAGTACTATGGCAAAGGAATGAGGGGAGAGCTGAGTTTGTACACAATGTTTGCATAGCTCTGGGTCTGTCGGTGCCTGCTGCCACGACGTGCAGTGACCGTGCAATTGAGACGCCCAGCAATACCCCCAACGCCGACAATCGGGACATCGAGTGCATCCCAACGCATGTGGTGTTGAGGCGCCATTCTCTCTGGAAGGAAGGTTGCCCGCGTCCTCAGCTTGAGTTTGTGGTCAATTGAATGTCAGGCTTGCAGTATGAGATTGACCGCGCAGTTCTCGACCGAATCCAGTCAAGACTGAGGACTTCTGGGGCCACTTCGATTATAAAAGTGGGCATCTTGAGCCAGTGGGCTGGCGGCCGCGAGAATGCAACACTGCAGCAGACCACGTCGCGAACTGCGGGCAGCACCACGGCACTTCGTTACACAACTTGGACGCCGAGCGTTTCCGGGTGCAGATTTCCAATAGCGTAGGCGTGCAGATCTTCACGGATGGAGGCATGCATGGTGGGAGCGGGGCTACCAGCATAGTCGTCTTGGTCGTGGACTTGGCCGGGGGCGAGCTCAAGTCCAAGATTGCTGGGTTCGCCAGTTAACGAATCCGTCCTGTCCATTCCGCCTTCCACGCAGAGGCTAGTGCATTAGATTGGACTGCGGAGTACTTGGCGGCATTGTTCGTTAGGACCAGAGCATGCAAGCGACAGCGATGTGAGTTGTAGGTGTTTTCCCGTTCAACCCAAGCAGCCCAAGCAGGGGCGCAGCACTCCAAAAAAGAGGGAGATGAGGAGGAGAAAGAGGAGAGTGACCATATGAAGACGAGGAGGAGAAGGATTCATGGACTTCCTGGGTGCTTCCTGTGAATTTCCTGTGGGCCTCTTCGTGGCCTCTTTGGGGCCTCCTGGGGCCTCTCGGGGGGGCTTCTTGGGGCCTCGTGCCGTCCTAGCGAGCTCTTGGCTCGTCTGGCCCTTTCGAGAGCCGTCTTAAGGGCTTCTCTGCGCCGTTCGGGCGCACTCTTGGAACGCTTTAGGGCCGCCTTGGGGCCCTCGTGGGAGCCTCTTGGGCAGTCTTGGGGTCCATGTCGGCCGACTTGGGGCCCTCTTGGGGGCCTCCCTGGGCTGTCTTGGAGCGATCTTGGGGCCTCTTGGGTCCCATTCGGCGACTGGAAACCCCAACAATCGAGAAGTTCAGAATCCATCAAACGTCAAGGACAATCGTTGTTGTTCTCCTCCTCGGGCTTTCCTGGAGGGCTTCTTAGAGCACTCTTAGATGCGCTATCTTGAAGGCCTTTGGGGCTGTCTTGGGTCTTGGGCGATCGGAAGCCCACACATGCGAGAACTTCAACATCTTTCAACAACCTATGGCGAGTCATTGTTTTCCCCAGCCCTCCCTTGGTTGGATCCCCGTTTTGAGTGCAGCAGTGTGGGCCCCACCTTCTCCTTCTCCTCCTCCCTCCGCCCCGCCTCCCTCCGCCCCGCCTCCCCTTCGTCCACTCCCCGCCCCCTGTCTTTCCTGCTCGGTCGTCCCCTCCCTCGCCGAGGCCTCGCGGGCCCTGCCGAGCAGCACCGCGCAAGTGTCGCGGCTGTCGTGGGCTCCTGGGAGGTTTAGCGGGGTGGAGGTCCACGTGGATCTGCTGAGACCTCGCGGCTCCTGGGGGGGGGGAGGGGGGGGGAACCGAACCGCGCAAGTGTCGCCACTTTCGTGGGCTTTTGGGAGGTCCAGCGGAGTGGAGGTCCACGCAGACCCAGGCGAGACCTCGCGGCATCCTGAGGGGGTTCGAACCGCGCAAGTGTCGCCACTTTCGTGGGCTCCTGGGAGGTCTGGCGGAGTGGAGGTCCACGCGGACCCAGCCTAGACCTTGTGGGCTCCTGGGGGGCTGCGAAGTGCGCGTCTTTCATCATGCTCGTTTGTGTTGATCTGTCCTTGTTAAATCTGCTACGTCTACCTTCTACGGGCGTCTCGGGGAACTCTTGGGGACTGCATGGGGACTCTTTGGGGCCTCTTGGGCCGCCTTTGAGGGCTCTGAGCCCGTCTGGCGCCCTCGGAAGCCGTCTCGGGGGCGTCTCTGTGCTGTCTTGGGGCACTCCTGGAGCGCTCTGTGGCCGCCGTAGGGCCCTCTCTTGGGAGTCTCTCGGGCGATGCTAGGGTCGTTTTGTGCAGACTTGGGGCCCTCTTGGGGGCCTCCTGGACTGTCTTGGAGCTATCTTGGGGGCCTCTTGGGCTGTATTGGGGGGTCGGAAGCCTCAGCAGTCGAACACTTCAAAATCCAGCAACAACCGGGGAACATCGCTCTTTTTTCCTCCTCGGGCTCTCCTGTAGGCCCCTTTTGGGGTCCTCGTGCCGTCTTGGGGGCATTTTAGTCCGTTTGGAGGCCGTCTTGAAAGCCTCTTGAGCCTTCTTGGGCCATCGTGAGCCGTTGTGTTGTCGTCTTGGCTGTCTTGGAAGCCTTCTTTGAGGCCATCTTGGCCGCTTGGAGGCCCAAAAGACCGCCCGTGAAGCAATTTCAGGGAGGGCGGTTTGCGCGAGCGCGTGCGAACCGGGGAGGAAGCTGGCCCTAGAGAACTTTAAGACACATTCCAGAGGGACCATAGGAGTCAAGGGCGCCCTCGAGGGCGCGAAGTTATTCGCGCTTCGCGCTTCGCGGTTCGGCTCCGATCCCTCATCCTCCTCTTCTCCCCTGGGAGGCGGCGCGAGAGCGCGAAGTTATTCGCACTTCGCGCTTCGCGCAGCGCGAAGCGTGAAGTTGGGAGCCCTTGTTACAAAAACATTCCAGAGGGACCACAGGAGTATTCTAACACGCCCACTTCGTCCAGGCACGGTGGCGGATTGAGCGGTGAAGCCAATTGGGGCGGTCGCAGGCCGGATTTTGCAAGTCCGTGGCCGCGCCCCCCTGAGGCGCTACCAGTTCGGTGAGCCGCTTTACATTGTTTGTTGACTGCGTGGGATGGCGCGCGCTGACAAACGCAACATCGTTGTCTGTCTGGTGTGCCGCCTCCGTCTCTCTCACCCCTCTTGGCCCGCGCTTTTTCTCC